TAAGGCCACACAACACAGCTCCTTGTTTCCCCATTCCCCGACTCTAGCCCTAAGACCACATGATGGCACGTAGCATTCACCTGAGGCGTGGAGCAGAAGTGGACTGGGCTCATGTATGAATTCTACACATCTGTGTGGTTTTAACACATGACTGGCATTGCTCTGAGGAGTGGGTCTATGATGGAGAGGAGAAACAGCCACCTTGCCCGATGGTCTTGGGAAAGAATATGAGCATTATTAATTGACAAGGATATGAGAAATATTATCAGAATACACATGGGAACACTAATCTGCACAGAGTGTCCAGTCCTGCCTACTGTGTAATTGATAGAAGCGAGGGAAGATTTGAACTGTGGAGCAAGCTGAAATACACAAATCTAAGCTCTGGGCGCATAGTGTTCTTCCTTCCTTCCTTCCTTCCTTCCTTCCTTCCTTCCTTCCTTCCTTCCTTCCTTCCTCTCTTCCTCTTTTTTATATAATTTATGTTTTAATGAGTACATATGCTTTGCACTTCCTTCGTGGTTTTTAGGAAACAGTTTTGTTGACATGTGAAAATCTTAATTCTTCTTAAGAGTAGTATTGTCTTTGTCACCAATTGTGAAATAGAAAGAATGCAAAAGACACTTAGGAGCACATTAACCTGTTTAAAATTGACATTTGGGGGTGAGATGTTCATTATATTCTTCTTCATAGAATGTTTGTGTTGAAATGTTTTATTTTATATTGTATTTGTGTGTGTGTGTGTGTGTGTGTGTGTGTGTGTGCGTGCATGTGATGTGTGTGGGTATGTGCACGTAAGTACAGTACCCATGGAGACCAGAAGAGGGCAGTGGATCTCATGAAGCTGGAGTCACAGGCTGCTAGGAGCTGGCCAATGTCAAGGTTGGAAAGTGAACTTAGACAAAAGCAGTGAGTGATTTTAACCACTGAGCCAACTCTGCAGTCCCTACAAAAGTCTTACATCAACTCTATGCAGATTTTTTTTAGGAAAGAAATAAATGTGTTGTTAGATGAATGACAAATGACCTGCTTGGATCCTGCCTCTGTGGATAGTTTTAAATCTGCAAATTTTTAGTGTATTTCACAAGTTTATCTCAAACTCCAAGGCAGGTGGTCTAGAAGAATCAATGGCAAATTGAACTGTACTGAATTTTAATATCAAAGTTGGGCCAATGTAAAAGTGATGGCAAAGAGGCCAGAGGGGATTGATAGGTTCTGATTAGAAAGCGGGCCCATGTCTGACGTGTGGGAACGCACTGTGTGAGTTCAGAGAGAGGAGCTGATGTGGAGAGGAGTTTGCATAGGGAGTGTGATAAATAAGTAATGGCCACCAAGGGCTTAGATGGTTTCATATTTAAAGAGATATTTATGAACTATTGCAGGGCTGGGAGAGGCTCGCCACTTCCTTCTTCTCCTCTCATTACAGCCGAAGGGGAGAAATGAGTTCTAAGGAAAACTGCAGACAAGCTTAGAACCACATACGGTCTGTTCATTAAAAGTCAATGTGAGGGAGCGCACAAGTTTTTATTGAAAAGTTCGTTTGAATTTCTCCCTCCCATAACAGCTTCCAAGAAGTTTCCCAAGTGGACTTGGCTTAAATGCATTGCAGGGCATCGCAGGGGGCTTTGAGATGGAGGCTGTGTTAGGCATTGAGATGAGGGGCCCACACTGAGACACCAGATCTTTCTCTGCCTCTCAACCCAGCCCCCCAGGGCTCTGAGTTGGCTGTAGAATAGATAGAGGGTAGGGGCTGTGTGAAGCCTCTACCTCGGTGGTGTGTCTTGTTTTCAGTTGTCTTGACATGAAGACCCCTGTGTACCACATGATCCCCCTACTACATCGCCGCATGACCTGAGGCAGCTTAGAGAGCAAGCCACAAACGTTCATACGACTCTGAGAGTATGAAGGCAGACACAAACATGTGTGTGGAGGTGTGTGCATGAGATGCAGGTAGGTAGCGCCATTTTAAGAGCATAAAAATGCCAGTGAGAGCCGGAGAGATGGCTCAGTGGCAAAATGATTTCTGGGCAAGCATGAAGACCAGATCCCCAATTCCCACATAAACACTGGGTAATGAAGGTGGGGTTTAATGAGTTCACCAGACCCAAGATAAATGATAGGTATTTATTAAAGAAGCAATTGCACAGATAAGAGTAAATAACTGCCACAGACTTCCTGCTCCAGAAGATGCAGTCTCTGCCCTTCTGATGCTCTCCCCAACCCAAGAGAGCCTGAGCCAGCCCCTCCTTCACCTTATAATGGGTCATGTCTGCACCTGAAACCACGCCCAAAGGATGTGGCCACCACTACAAGTTCACTGGCAAGACAAGATGCCACAACAGGGTAATTCCAGGTTTCAGGGAGCAGAGACAGGCTGATCATTGGAGCTCATTGTCTGAACTGATGAGTTTCAGACTCCATGAGAGACTGCCTCAAAAAATCAGATGGGGCAGCAAGAATGAGAAGATGCCTGGTGTCAGTCACTGGTCCCCACTCCTGTGCACACTCCATGCTGGCACATATATCCACACAACCACATGTATACAACACACATGCACACTCTATGCACACATATGCTCATGAGCCAGGGCACACTCATATCATCTTAGCTCTTGTCGACAAAGCAGCCTTACTGCACACAATCCATTTCTTATCTCGGCCACAGTATCCACAGAATGTAAACAGCAGTTTCCTCACTGAGCTGCTGTTAGGGTAAAGCTGGGCAAGATATGTAAGTAACTGAGAACATTGCCTGGCATGCACTTAATGCCCATTAAATATTACCTATTATCACATTTGACTTCATATAAATGTCCATCAATACCAATAACTGTTTATGGTTGTGCAGTCCATCTCCCAGAGAGGTAGATTGCTTATCATTGTACATATTGATTTCCCTCACTTTGCCTTGAACCCATTTCATGGAATGAGAGTTGTTTTGTTCATTTCCTTTACGTGTCATTCAGATTCCATGATGGGAAGGCCTGGAGAATCTGGGATGAAGATGGCTCTTTGTTAAATCTGACCATCTTTCTTTGTTCCTGTAAGTGTGGAAGGGTTTTCTCAGGACAGGTGTGAGCATCTGTCTCTGCCCCAGCCCATGGCAGGGGAAGCAGTTGTAATTCCTCTTCCTGGGCATTGAAAGACACTTGTATTTCACGATCTGTTATCTGCAGACAGACGTCTTAGAAAACTGTCTGGGTTTGGGATTGTCCGTTCCATCATGCTGTCCGCGCAACAGTACACAAAGAGTGTTGAAGGGGCATACACACTTTTCTTTAAGTAAATTAGGCTTTCTTTGAAAGGTATTCTCAGTTTCCCCCATGACAGCTGTGACTCCCAAAAGACACAGAGTCCTCAGAGATAAGTTTCTTCATTCAGTGACAAATGGGCTTCAGCCTCAGAGCAACTTCTGGGCCACCCGTGGGTGAGGCATCTCTGAGTTGCATTTTAGCCCTCAATGGAGGCAATAAGCACCCCTTCTCACCACCACGTTGGACCTAACCTGAGGACCAGGGGGGCCCATGGGAGAAGCAGAGAGTCATTCTTCCAGCATCGCTTCAAGAGCAAGTGGTTTAATCTAGAAAAATTGATGATGTTAAAACATGACTTGAATCCCTAACGACACTTCCAAAGCAAGCCAGCTTCCAGTGCTGTTAGTGATAAGCTCTCGGTGGCTTCAGACTTCATCCAACACAAGTAATTATTCAAAGAGTCACACTCTCAACCGGAAGACATTGTGCTTTGGAGAAAGATGCCACTGGGGGCATCAGACCTCCAATTTAGACAGAAATCCCAACATTCATGTTAGGAGTATATGAAAAAAATTTTACTGGATGTGAGTAGAAAAGAAGATGAGAGCTAAAGAGGTGACAAGAAAATGGTCTTTGAACAAAAATGCATAAAGTGAGTTTTCTCTAAGCTTGAAACAGACAGAATGAGACCCAGGAGAAAGTCAACCAAGGGGCTTCACCATAAATCCAGAGCAAGGAGTTGGCGTTGGAGGACACCAATGTGTATCAGTGATAGGGAGCTGATTACTACCTGCATGCTAACACCATGCTCACCTGCATGCTAATATCATGCTTACCTTCGTGCTAACACCATGCTCACCTGCATGCTGATACCATGTTCAGTGCTTCCACAGCTGATCTCATTTCGTTATCACAAGACCCCATGGCAGAATCTACATATGATAATGGCCAGAGCACGAGTTCAAAGGCAGACGAGTCCGTTCCAGCATCCACCTCCCAGGCTCAGTGCTTACTCTTAGTGGTTCTGAGACAGCTGCATGAGGTGACCATGCACAGCACTTATTTTGTGATAAACTCTCAATAATTAACACTGAGATAAAAATACTACAGATGAAGAAAATTGATCTCAGGGAGATGTAGAAACTTCTTCAAGCCTGGGAATCATCGGCAGAAGCAGGATTTGATCCCTGGTCTGCATTGTGGCAGCACCTCTCTATTTAACCCTGTACAACCAGGAACCCAGAGCTCAGAAAGGGAAGGGTGTTAGTCTGGTTTCTGTTGCTATACTATGATACCTGAGGATGGACAATGTACAAAGTGGTTTATTTAGTTTTGGAGTCCGGCAGTCTAAGCGTAATATTATTGGCTTTGTTGAGGGCCTCTTGGCTATATCTAAACATGGCAGATGGTATCATGGCAGGAGTGTGTGTGGAAGGAAGTGGTCCCCTGTGGAGACAGGAAACAGAGGGGCCCAGAATTGCTCTGTTGTAACTTACTACTGTGAGTGCTCACTAACCCCAGGGGAATTTCAGTCCCTTATGAGGTCAGAATGCCAATGAGCCTCTCTCTCTCTCTCTCTCTCTCTCTCTCTCTCTCTCTCTCTCTCTCTCTCTCTCTCTCTCTCTCTCTCTCTCTCTCTCTCTCTCCTCTCTCTCCTCTCTCTGTCTCTGTCTCTCTCTTCTTCTTCTTCTTCTTCTTCTTCTTCTTCTTCTTCTTCTTCTTCTTCTTCTTCTTCTTCTTCTTCTTCTCTCTCCTCTCCTCTCTTCCCCCCTCTCTCATTTCCTCTTCCCCTCTCTCTCTTTTCTCTCTCAGCTCTGCGGAGGCCATTCTGGCTATGAGTTTCTAACCTGAGGATCCTTGGGGAGACCCATAAAACCACAGCAGGTGGTACAATGAAGTCATTGCTTTGGTAATACAGGACTAACCAGCCATTGTGAGTACAGCATACATCAACCAGTGAGTTCCCAGCTAGAGAAAAAGACAACAGCAAAGAGAAGACACCCTTACAGGTAAGTCTGAAGCTCTGAGCTCTGCATTGTCCTTGCTAGTGGTCTTACAACAGAATCCTTTGTTTTCAAACAGCAGAGACAGGTCAATTTGCATACTCTAAAAGGCGCTGCTGGCATAATGTTATTGTACAATTTAGAAAAAAAATAACTACATGTTTCCCATTAATTCCAATTAATCATTTGAAGACCCCATAAACACCCGGGAATAAAAACCCAAGCATCTTTCTTTGAAACCCCCCCTGACCCTATGCCCATGTGACCTCAAGCTCCTGAGGCTGAGCTTGCCCCTGTTTCACAGAGTTGCCCTTACTCCAAAAGCCACTTGCAGAGAGAAAAGACAGATTGGGGAGCCTAGGGGCTGTCTTCAGACCCCTGCCTCTGTTTCTACTTTTTTTTACATGGTGCTGTCAGGAACTAATCTCACAGGCTCTGTAACCTTGGCCTCCTGTTACAGGGGTGCACTAGGCTCCTTAAGATCCCTGCTTCTGCCAGATATGGCTTGAGCTTTGGGTTCCATGCTCCAAGCTCCCCTTGATCTCCTCTGTGGCCACAGTGATTTCCATAGACTGCCCTTCAGGTTGGAACGGCCAGACCCAAGATTTATTGAGCTAAAGTTGCATGCTGTGTCCTGGACAGTCTTTAGGGGAATATGCAAACTCTGAATCATCAGCCGGGATGCTCTAACCCTTGGAGAGATCCTGTCTGGGTGCACAGAGAGACCTCTGACAGAAAGGCCCCAGTCAAACAGAGAATGTAGAGAATGCACCTCAAAATAAAGGGGTTGGGAAACTCACCTTTGCATTAGACTTCCTGCCTTTTCTTGTCAATGAGGGAGCACTAATGACAAATTATCTTGGAGATGATTCCCTAAGCTCCCACATGCTCCCTGACTCAAATAAACAAGTTCCAGGAAGATTTTTCTCTGCACCAGGCATTCCCTTTGCTCACTCCGCCACTCTTGGTACAAATGCATGGCTTTCTTTGCCCAATTTGGCTTCACCTCTGTCCAATGCAACCCCAGCACTCATCCCTGGGATTCCAAGTTTGAGAAAGTGATGCTATGTCTAAGGACATTTTCCCCTGGTCACTTCTTGGCTAAGGCTCTTGATATGTTCTGAAATCCTTCTCCCAGATCTCAGCATGGGTAGGGGCTTCTCCACCACTGTTGTGTGAGCATTTGAATGTAGATTGTTCTGTGTGGTAGGGCTGTCCCTTACATCAGAAGATGCCAGAAGCATCCAGAGGAAACATCCTGTTTCCTTTTGTGGCTTTGCTGGGGAGACGAAGCTGGTAGATCTCCCACAAACACAAAGGTGTTAATCCAAGGTCACTCTCTTACAAACTAGTTCATATTTTCTCCACCAAGAGTCAAGATCCAGAGTGCAAGGAATGAGACAGTCTTTGGAACCTTTAAGTACAGAAATCAGAACCACATGGCCACCCGGAAGGCACCTGTCAAGCTGAGTGACCTCTCACTGACAGCATGACAAAGTAGCTTCATTTTATATCTCAGGAGACCACATTTAAGAAACTTACTGCTGATGAAGGAAAATAGGAGCTTGCCTTACAGTGGATTGTGAAGTCCTGCATTATTTAAATAGTATTTATGTTGGCCTCTACTTTCCTGTTACTACATGCTATTGAAAAAGAGAAATAGGTATGTACTCTGCAGCAGTATATGGTATATGAAATGCGTAGGAAACCATAGCACACAGTGTAGAATGGTCAGGACAGATCCCTCACAGTGGGGTGAAGAGGGTGAGCGGGTATATTCTGAGAGATCCTTATCTCAGGGTGACTTTTGCTCCAAGGTGCCCTTGGTAAGGTCTGGATATATCATGTATGAGTGGTGTATGCATGTGTGCATGCATACACAAGCGTAGTCTAGGTCAGGGGCCAAAGTTTGGTATCTTGCTCTGTCTCTCTCCATCTCATTTTTTTGAGGCAGGTTCTCTCACTGAACATGGAACTCACTGATTTAGCTAGGCTGCCTTGAGATCCTCTGGTCTCCACCTGTACTGGTAACGTTTCTTCTGCGATAGAATCCCATGACCACCAAATCAGCTTAATTAAGAAAGGGCTTGCCGGGCGGTGGTGGCACATGCCTTTAATCCCAGCACTCAGGAGGCAGAGGCAGGCGGATCTCTGTGAGTTCGAGGCCGGTCTGGACTGATAGCCTCCAAAACAATACAGAGAAACACTGTCTCGTAAAGACCAAAAAAAAAAAAAAAAAAAAAAAAAAAGAAAGAAAGAAAGAAAGAAAGGGCTTATTATGGCTTAATGTTCCGAAGGGATTATCTGTCATGACATGGCTGAAGTGGAAGGGGCAGGAAGCTGCTGATCACATTTTCATCCACACAAGAATCAGAGAGATGGGAGAGGGGAAGTGGGGTAAGGCTCTAAACCCTCAAATCCCAACCCTGGAGTCTTACTTCCTCCAGGAAGTCTACACGCTTAAAGGTTTCATAACCGTAAACAGCTCACCAGCTACATTCAAACACATGAACCTGTGAAGGACATTTCACACACATAAACTCTCATGTGGTCCCTCACAGGGCTGGAGTTACAGATGTGTGCCACAGCACCTGATTTCTTATGTGGGAGTTGTACATTTAAGCTCAGGTCCACAAGCTTGCGCAATAAGTACTTTACCCCAAGTTTTAGAGATACTTTTGATTACCTCGCTGAAGCGATATTGGGGTGCTACTGGCATCTAAGAATTGAAGTTCAAAGATACTACTGAATGCACCATGGTGTGCAGAATGACTCCCACCACTGAGAACTATTCTAGCCCAATTGCCAGTAGTATTATGGCCAAGAAGCACTGAGGCAGGTTAAGAGCTTGGAGGGGCATTTCCACACATGGCAAGAATTATAACCAAGGAAGAACCAGTGTCTTGTCTCAGGGAACACCACAGCTTGTTCAAGCTGCCAGTTCCACAGTTGCGCACAGGGCTTGACCCCTGTAAAGGCCTGGGGATGTTGGAGAGAAATGAGGTAGGTTGCATGCATTTCAAAGGGCCAGCAGGAAGGACAAGAACGGGCAGGAAGTCAAGCAGATGGGAGTCACAGTAGAACAGGAGGGATGTTCCAGGGTCCTGACTAGAGCATGGCTCTGAAGACACAAAGATGGAGAATTCCAGAACATTCTGCATCTTCCAGGAAAGCAGCTCACAGCCTGAAACATGGTCTCTCAGCCAATTCTTGAGTCAAAATTATCACCACGCTCTGGCGTAAGGCAAGAAACGTATCTCGGGAGAAGGTTGGTCTGCAGGACTCAGGTGTGCACCAGCAAAGTTGAAGACAGACTCATGGAGATGAGGACCCTCCTGGAAGTTTCTCAATGGTCTGTCCCTGCAGTTCTCACCACTGTACCCTGTGACTTTGCGGGAGAACAGCCAGGACACGCTGACTTGCAGCCTGCGGACATGCTGCTGCTCTTGAGTAGGGTTTTCTCCTCCTCCTCCTTCTGCATCTTCTGCTGCTTCCCTTTCTGCAGTGGTCACTCCCAGTCCCCGCCATGGCTGAGCCTCAGTGCAGCCAGCAGGAAGGAAGAAGACAAAAGCCGTCCTCGGCCCCAGTTGATATGGGACTTTGCTTAGCATTTTGAAAATTATTAAGTGTTCGAATTTCTTCCTATGTCTTTTTCACCAAGATGACTGTCTTTCTGTTTCCTTGACAGCCTCAGCAGGACCAAATTGACAGCCCTTTAAAGGCGGCTGACGACAAGCGGCATTAATTAAGTCATTGCCGGACTGTAATTGTGTTAAGAAGTAAAAATCTAATATGAGAAAAGGTTAGCGAGTCCTCTCTTGTGTCAGATTTTCTACTCCCTATGAATATTAATGTCCTTAATGAAGACAATCTTTGCCTCATCAAGCCCAGGCGCCGCATTCAGGTGCCAAATCCCCGCGCCATTGATTTGTTTTTAAAGAACAAATATGTCAGGAGAGAGTGACTGTCCTGTTTCTTATCCACATCAGAAAGGAAGCTTCTGTGCTATGGGGAAGAGTTTATAGATTTTGTGTGCATGGAGGAGCTCTCACAGAGGGGAGGGGGCTCAGCAAGCCCAGGCGAGGTAAACGAGTTACAGTAATTTAATATTAGTGTTGCGTTTGATCGCATTAGCTCCTTTTCTGTGTGTGTGAGCAATATTCGTCTATTAGCGGGGTGACGATCAGCAGTTTTAATGATAAAATAGGAATTCTCTTTAGAAAAAGGGAGGCTGCAGAGGAAGCCCTGAAGTGAGATGGGGCGGGGGGGGGGGGGCAGGCAGCTGGCTCTCCATTGATGCAGGTGCTCTTCCTCCTCTGACCTGAGTGATCATGGCGGTGTTGGGGATGGATGCTTCTTAAGCAGGGTGGGGTCCTACAGTACCTGCTGCTCCAAGTGCAGGCTTGTGTGAGCTCTCTCTCATTCATCAATTATTTCTATCGAATTGGATCAAAGACAAAAATCTCATCTCACCTCCAACAGTCTTAGCCATCCAGAGAGTATCCCTCTATCCTTTTGAAAAGGATACATTACTTAGCATGGAGGGATGATGCAAAGCTGTAATCTCAGCACTTGGGGGGGTAGAGACAGGAGGATGGATCCAAGAGCAACCTTTAGTTTAGCAGAATACAATGACACAGCCAGAACTGGGGAAGGAAAACAGGGAGATCAGGGACTCAAGGTTAGCCTGAAACATTGTATCAGACAAAACCAAAACTAAATAAATATAAAGCACATGTTACTTGAATCATTCTCTAGAATACCTTGCCTGTAGCCAGGGCAGCAGCATGCCAGTTTATTTTTCTGAGACTCTGATGATGAAGCAGGAGACTCTGATGATGAAGCAGGAGATTGGTTGACTGAAACATGTTGATATTAGAATTCACTCTGGTGGGAACTAGTGGATGAACTCCCAGATGGTAGCTCATGAATCCTGAGGAGTGTTGCTTATGTGCACAGATCTGGGTTTGTACAGTTTTTATATGATGGTCCAAGGGTTCCAGGCA